GTTGACCGGTGAATGACCTGCCTGTGTCCCTGTGTTAGTCTGGGTTGACTAGAGAAACAAATTCATAGACACTCATCAGAAAGAGCTTTATATAAAAGAGCAATTGTTGGACATTCCCTTACAGAAGAGTCATGGGGAAGAGACAAGCCAGTCAGGGTGCAGTGTAGCAGAGGAGAGGCGGCGAGGAGAGAGAGGGGTTTATTTCTAACCAAGGCTTATATATCTTTGGGGGTGTGCAAGGCCCCTGACTACAGGTAAAGACATATGTCACAGGAAGGGGTTGTTCTATAGGTAATACAGTAATGTGAGGGGCATGATCTAGGTGTATACACGCAATAGGAAGGGGAGGGATTGGGGGTACACCTGTGATGGGTGGATGGGCGCATCCTAGATTCAGGATGGCAGCCTAACTTTGGATGTCACTGAGCAGGTTTGACCTATTGTAAGCTCTCCAGGGAAACAATCACTCTTATCAATAGGGAGTGAGCCCCACCTCCAGTGGACCAGACAGTGGTCTGACTGCTCTGGATGGCTGATACCTTCAGGGAGAATAGCTTGACAATCACTTACCATTAGTTGCAAGCGGTGTCCTAGGCCTGACCTATATTGGGGGGAGAGGTGCTGGGTAGCAGCCTTTTTCTGTCCCCCACTCCTTCATCCTTCCCCCCTCTCTCTTCCCATGCCTTCAGGGAACCATTACTCTGAGGGGTCCTATGTCTTGACTACCACGCCCCAAGCGATCTTAAAAATACAAGTGAACATATGCAGATCTAACATGATTAATGAGGCTATCACATAAATAGTAAGGGGAGGAAATCTTAAAGAACTAGAGGGTAGTCATGTGGTTCATCATGCTGTACTACACCCTGGATCTATCCTCTGTTCCATGTGGTCCTTTTGAGAGGGACCGTCTGATTGTCCAGCTGGTGAGCTTTGGGTCTCCATTACATCCAAGCCCCTTCGTATTGATTTGGTTGTTGTGTTAGTCTGGGTAGGCTAGAGAAACAAATCCATGGACACACCTATGTGTATAAGAAAGAGATTTATATTCAAGAGCAGTTGAACATTGAGAAAACATCCCAACCCAGTCCAGATCAAGTCCATAAGTCCAATATTAGCCCATGTGTCTGATACCAATCTGTAAATCCTCTTCAGACTCACAAAACACACGCAATGAAGCCAAATGCAGGACCATCACAGGCCAGTGGGTAGAAAGTCTTTGGGTCCAGTGGCGTTGTAAGCATCTCAGTGTGGGCAGCGGTCTTCTCCAGCTTCTGAACTCTGGTTGCGTCCATGTGGCTTGTCTTCTGCAATGTCTCCCAGGGAGTGGCAGAGAGAGAAAGGTCTCTTCCGCCTCCAAGGAGGAAGTACCAGATTTCCCAGAATTCTTAGGAGAAGGCCATGCCCACACAGAAGTCTCATTGGCTATCTCCAGATTGACAGCCTAGACTCCACCCCTACATTCTCAATCATTAAATTGACACCAGATTAGGTGGCTACCACAGTTGTGTGTGTGTGTGTGTGTGTTTTAATTTGTGATACTGCTTCCCTTCGACACCTCAAAGACAGAGGTTTTCACACCAAAGGAAACCGTCTTTGACAGTTAGCAAGGGGGGAGAGGGCAAGGGAGGAAAGATGATGTAACAGGCTAGAAGGTTGGCTGGGGCTAACTTGGGGGAAGGAGAAGAGAGTATTCCAGGAGAGGGAGAAGACAAATCAAAGGAAGGGGTTAGGCAAACTATTGGGAAGTTGATAAACAGCCGGCATCGTTGAATACGGAATTGATGGCCTGGAAAACTCCCACCTAATTAACACCGGGGGCAAAAAAAAAACCAAATCCAAACATCCCACCCTAATACTACCTTCAGGATCCCTGGTGTTGCAGTGGGTTATGCACTAAGATGCTAGCTGCAATATTAGCCGTTTGAACCCACCAACCTTCCCGAGGGAGAAAGCTGGGGCTCTCTGCTTTCATAAAGAGTGGCAGTCCCAGAACCCCACAGGGGCAGTTCCACCCTGTCCTGTAGGGTCGTTGTGAGTCAGTATCGACTCCACGGCAGTGAGTTTGCGTTGAGAATCTTGTCTCCTTTGCATCATGGAGCATACCCAATGAGACTGTGTTAGGCTGAGTAGACTAGAGAAACAAATCCAGAGACACTCATATGTGTAAGAGAGAACTTTATATAGCACTTTATATCAAAGAGCAATTGTACATTAAGAAAACACCCAGGCCAGGCCAGATCAAGTCTATAAGTCTGATATTACCCTATATGTCAATACTAGTCCATAAATTCTTCTTTAGACTCATGCAGCCATGCAATGATGCTGAATGCAGGGAGATCACAGGCCAGTGGGTGGAAAGCCTTGTAGGTCCAGTGGCGAGGAAGCATCTCAGCACTGGTGTGGGTCTCCACGTGGCTGCTCCAGCTTCAGGGCTCTGGCTCCCTCAGTGTAACTCCATGTGGCTTGTCAGCAAGAAGAGGAAGCACAGTGTCTCCTGCCTCCAAGGAGGAATACAGGAGTTCCCAGAAACCTCAGGAGAAGACCATGTCCCCATGGAAGTCTTATTGGCCATGTCCCGATTGACAGGCTAGACTCCACCCCTTAGCAAGTGGACAGGAGATGATGTCATTGCCACAGAGACCATAACCACAGGGTACACTGCCAATGTTGGAGGTGAGGTGGGGTATGCACAGGGCTGATGACTGCAGGGTCAGCAGTTTGAACCCCAGTGCCGCTCCTCGGGAGACAGGAGAGGCTTTCTACTCCTGCGAAGAGTTACAGCCCCGGAAACCCACAGGCGCCATTCTACTCCGTTCTACTCTGTCCTATGATGGCTGTGAATGTTGACCCTTGGGGCTAGCTGCTTCCCCGCATCTTTGGCTCTCTTTGCTCTTCTCCGCCAATAATCACCTCGTCCGTCTGTCTGCCTGCCTCGCCCTTACCCATCTTTCCTCCTAAGGCAGCTGAGAGACAAGAATAGAAGTGAAACGGAAGCAAAAGCAGGGCTCAGTGTCTGAGGACCCCAGAGAGGCGGGCCTGGTGAAATACTACTCAGCCCTGAAGAGGAGGGGGAGACCCTGTGGTAGCCCTAAAGGTCATGGCCAGGCACCTACGGCCACATACTGTGTGACCCCATTCACAGGATGCATGCAGATGGGAAGGGACTGAGGCATGGAGGCTGGCAGCCAGTGGGAGAGCTGCTTCGTGGGACAGGGCTTCCTTGGGGGCGGAGATGAGAAAGTCCTGGAACCAGCTACCAGTGGTGATTGCACAATCTCATGGAAGTAGGGACATGACTGGATTGTATACTTTACAATAGCTGGTTGCCTTGTGGGAATTTTCTCTCAAAGGAAAAAAAAAGATGGGGGCTGGGGATACAGGAATCTTGGGTCTGAGGGAGGAGGGGCTCAGGGTCAGCACTCTGGGTCTGAAGGAGGAGGGTCTTGGGGGTCAGGACTCCTGGTCTGAGGGAGGAGGGCTGGGGGTCAGGACTCCTGATCTGAGAAAGGAGGGACTCAGGGTCAGCACTCTGGGTCTGAAGGAGGAGGGTCTTGGGGGTCAGGATTTCTGGGTCCTAGGGATGCTGAGGCGGCTAGGGGGAGGGGCAGACAGACAGGGCAGGAGCCACACTGAGGGAGTGAAGCAGGACAGGGAGCCGAGAAGGTGGCAGGTGTCCTAGGTGGTTAGTTTCTTGATGGAGAAACTAACCATTGAGGACTTCCTTCTCCACCCCCCACCCCGCCCCCAGCCTGCCTGTAGGGGAACTCCTGATCATTTGCAAAGAAGGCACAGACCGGAGGGGCAAGGTCAGGCCACGGAGGTCTTCAAGCTTGGATCCTAAAGCTTGCACTTGCCTGCAGAGAGGTAGGAGAAAGCCCGGATGGAGTCTCCAAGTCCCGGGAGGAGGTAAGAGCTGGGTGAGGGGCGTAGTGGCTTAAGAGCCGGGCTGCCAGCTGCCAGGTCAGCAGTTCTAAACCACCATCCACGGGAGAAAGATGGGGCTCTCTACTCCCCTAAAGAGTTGCAGTGTCTGGAGCTCACAGAGGACAGTTGTGGTGAGTCAGAATCCAGTTTGCAAGAAAAGGCAGAGCCGGGGTGCTGACGCTCTATCTGGGCCAAACAGAGGAGAGGCTGAGAACCCCCTGGGCTGGGTTCCCCGGGGAAGAGGAGACTGGGGACGCAGAAGAATGGCCGAGAGCGCTGGAATCTAGCCCTTGTGGGGTGGGGGCAGGGGAAGGACAGGGCTGGGAGGTTGCACATTGAACCCACAGAACTGGAGGAAGTCAGCTCCCAAGGCCTTCTGGGCTCTCGAGCTGAGCGCTGGGTGCTGAGGAGGAAGTCGCGGGTTGGGGGCAAGGCCTGATGAAAGTGGGGCACCAGGATGGACTTTGCACTTGGGTCCTGCCTCACCCCATAAGCAGAGCTTTCTTTATCTGAACGTCTCAGGGGGGGCAGGGCCGAGACGCCTGGGGACGTGGCGGGGAGACACTGGTTGGCATTCAGAGAACTCAGGGAGGGGGAACCACTGTCTGACTCATAGCGACCCCGAGAGAAGAGTAGAAGAAGCAACCCTGTGGGTTTGCCGGGCTGGAGGTGGTGGTTGGAGGGGCAGCCTCTCGTCTCCCCTAGGAGAGGCTGACCTTGAGGTGGCCGTGAGGGTGGGGGTTGGGGGGTGGCAGAGAACAAGAACTAAGGTGTAGAGGGCCTGAAGGAGGCTTGCAGAGAAGTTGTGGAGTCAGCTGGGGGATGGAGGGGGAGGGGGGTGAAACCAGAAGGAGCTGGGACTCTTGGTGTTGCGAGCGAGCGGGACAAGCACCCAGAGCGGAAAGCAGCAGGGTGAGGTTGGATTGGGCCCCACTGCACCCCCACCCGACTCACTCCCGCTGTCCTGAGAGAGGAGGTCTGCTACGGCCTGAGGTCACAACCCTCAGCACCTTGGCCCTGAGCCCCAGCTGGCCACCAGGGAGCGGTTCCTCCCCTGTCCTTACAGAGCCAGGATGTGGGGCCACCTGGCCCTTCTGCCCATCTTCCTGGCCCTCTGGGCTGTCGCCGGCACCTGGACTGTGTGAGTATGGCATGATGGGAGCTTGGGTCTGAGAGAGGACAGCTGGGAGCCAGGACTCCTAGTCGGAGGGACGAGGGCTGGGGGTCAGGACTCCTGGTCTGAGGGTCAGGACTCCTAGTCTGAGGGAGGAGGACTGGGGGTCAGGACTCCTAGTCGGAGGGACGAGGGCTGGGGGTCAGGACTCCTGGTCTGAGGGAGCAGGGGTGGAGATCTGAATCCTGGTCTGAGGGAGGGGGACTGGGAGTCCTGCTTTCCGGGCACTCAGGCGAGGGTGGCAGAGGGAAGGTTGTAGGGAGCCCTCTGTCCCCCTGATGTCTTTCCACCTGCAGGTTTTCGCTTGCAGTTCTCAACCAGACTGTGAACCTCACGAAGCGCTTCCCCTACATCAGGTAGGGGAGGCTGTGGCTGGGATACAGGAGGTGGGGTGCTCTGGCTGGGAGGGGGCACTGGACCACCCTTTCTCTCTCTCAGTGCCTGTGGATCTGACCCACCTCAGAGCTGCCTCTTCAGCCAGGTGCTCAATGTGGGAGCTGCAGTGGGTGAGTACCAGGTGCTCCTAGCTCAGGGCTGGTCTCCTCCCTCAGGACCAGTCCCCAGAGCCTCCTCCCTCAGACCCTGGTCCCCAGTCTCCTCCCCACTCAGACCCTGGTCCCCAGTCTCCTCCCACTTCAGACCCTGGTCCCCGCCTCCTCCCCTGGACCCAGTCCGCAGTGTCTCCTTCCTAGGACCCAGGTCCCACCTCCAGCCACATCTCTCAGATCCAGGCGTCCAGTTTCCTAGCCCCTTCCTTTCCCACAATCCTGTAGTCTGGGTCCTACCCACCTCCCACCTCAGGGGTGGAGGGGGCCGGTTTCTCACTCTCCTGCCTCTCCTTGCAGCCGCCTGGATCTTCATTCTGCGCTACCACCAGCTGCGGGACTGGGGGGTCAGAAGGGGGTTCAACCTGCTGATCCTGTGGGCGGGGCTCCTCAGTGCCGTGGGCACTTCTGTGGTTGGCAATTTCCAGGTGAGATGGAAATCCCAGCGGGCTTCCCTGCCAGCTTCTTGGACTACAACTCCCAGGAGGCACTGGGGGG